AGCTGCATAGTTGCCAGTTGGTGTCTGAGTGCAATTGAAGGTGCTGGTTACTACCTATGAAGCCTTGTATGGCATAGGGCCTGGATAATGGGAGACCATTCATCTCTGCTTGTCTTGCCATCCGAGTACATTCCAGCAGAGTAGGTGCCCTTCCATTAAATATCTTGTGGTACCTAGGAAGTGTCCCTTATATGTTGCAGCCACCTCCCTCTGAAATAGCATCCCTTCAGAGAGAAGGTTGGTACCCTATCTCCTAGGGTTCCAAAATGTTTAGAAAACTGGCTTTGATTCCAGTCCTGGAGTTTGTTATTTGTATAATGGCCCCTATTTAATGGTGGGAATGGGATGGGGGTAGTGCATCCATCCTTGATCTACTTGACCTCTTGGCAGCTTTCGAAACCATTGACCATGGGATTCTCCTGGGATGGCCGGGGGATGGGAGCAGGAAGCCTTGTGCTGTCCTGGTTCACTTCCTTCCTCTGCGGCCACTTTCAGTCAGTGTTGATAGGAGGGGAGAGATCCAGCCCTTGCCCACTGCTTTATGGGGTTCCACGGGGCTCGGTACTCTCTCCACTCCTGTTCAACATTTATACGAAGCTGCTGGGTGAGATCATCCCTCACCATGGACTGAAGTATCACCAATATGCTGATGATACTCAGCTGTATGTCTCGGCCCGTGGTGAGTTAAGTATTGCTGTGTCCTCCCTCTTGCAATGCCTGGAGGCTGTTAGGGGCTGGATGGGGAGCAAAGGGTTGAAACTAAACCCTTGCAAGACCGAGTGGCTCTGGGTTTGGGGTTCGTTGGCTCAGGGAGAATTGCCATCTTTGGTTTTGGATGGGGTGGCACTACCCCAAACAGACCCTGTGCATAATCTAGGGATTTTCTTGGACTCATGACTCCTGCTCAAAAAGCAGGTGGCAGTCATGACCAGGAGGGCGGGTTGTGCACCAGTTACACCCTTTCCTGGACCAACAGTCCTACTCACAGTCACTCATGCATTAGTCACTTCTCGTCTTGATTATTGCAACACGCTCTACATGAGACTGCCCTTGAAGAACATCTGGAAGCTCCAGTTGGTGCAAAATGCAGTGGCCCACATGGTTTTGTGCAAACCCTGGTGCGCACGTTTCACCTCTCCTGCAAGAGCTGCATTGGTTGGCGATTTTCTTCTGGGTACAATTCAAGGTGTTGGTTGACATCTTTAAAGCCCTTCATGGCTTGGGACCAGGTTATCTGAGGGAATGTCTCTTTCCGGTCACATCTAGCTGGCCCATTAGAGTGAGGAGGCAGGGAATGCTGTGGGTCCCATCCCTTAGGGAGATACACGGGGTGGGACCCAGAAGAAAGCCTTGGTATTTTGCCTTAGAGACATCTGATTGTTTTGCCTTCTTATTTCCTTCCTGCCCAAGCTATTCTGCTTCAGACTCCCTGGACACATGCCAGGTCGGTGTTATACCTGCACATGTTCTTCTGTTTCCAAATCTGATGCCATGAAAAGTCAGGAGAGTAGAGATACCACATCTGGGCTATAAAAATCCAGACAACCAAAAGATGGCAGCAAAGAGATCAGAAAGTTTCAATTAACAACTGCCATCTAATGGTTACTCAGATTTCTTGCAGTCCAGAAACTTACTCTTTTTTTGTGATGGTGCGGGGTGCTTTCAAGTCACTTTATGACTCCTTGTGGCTTTCTGGACCAATCTCTGCAGTTGGCAAGACTTTTCGGAAGTATTTTGTCATTATACCCTTTCAAGAACTCAGCTAGAATGACTTCCCCAAAGTCACCCAGCTGGCTTTGTGGCTAAGGCAGGACTAGAACTCACAGTCTCCCAATTTCTAACCTAACATCTTAACTACTATACCAAACTGGTTATAATATGCTATATAGTAGAGGAAACAAAACACAACAGAAAAAAAAACAGTAAATCAAGCAAAGGGTGGAAATAGACAAAAAAATCTGGACTGTTCAGTACAGTTCTGGTCATCTGACCATCTTATGAAGGATTCTGGATTTTTTAAAATACATTAAGCTATGCCACCTAAACTGGATTAAAGAACTGTATCATTAATGAAGTCCTGCAGCTTCTTCTGTTCTCCTGATCCTAGGAGAAAGCTTAATCTTATCTCAGGCAATGTAGCATAAAGTAAACCAAATGAGTACCTAAACTGATTCCCTGCAGCATCTGGTGATAGTGTAAAGATAATTAGACAGGATTCAATTATGTGCTGCCTAATGGTGCTAGACACAGTATACATAGGGCTTGCATAGCACAGGCTCCTTTATAACTTTTCATCAAATTCAGGAGAATAAATGGAATAAATATGAAGTGCAAGATACTCAATTTCCAATATTAGAATGATTTTATTGTATGACCATGCTTTTAAAGGGAATTTTTAATAAGCATAATTTACAGGTAATGGGTACCTTCAATCATTTGTTTAGTGACCATTCAAAGTTACAACAACACTGAAAAAAGTGACTTATGACTATTTTTCACACTTGCAACTATTGTAGCATCCCCATGGTCACATGATCAAAATTTGGATGCTTGGCAACAGCATGTATTTAGGATTGTAGTATCTTGGGGTCATGTGATGACCTTTTGCGATCTTCTGACAAGCAAAGTCAACAGGGAAGTCAGATTCATTTAATCATGTTATTAACTGCAGTGACTCACTTAACAATTGTGCCAAGAAAGGTCATAAAATGGGACAAAACTCATTTAACAACTATCTTGCTTAGAAATGGAAATTTAGGGCTCAATTATAGTCGTAAGTCAAGGACTACCTGTAGTTCAAAGTTAGGACCTACTTGAAAAAGGGGATTTGCAACTTGGATGTGAGGTTCTGACAGTTGGCTTCCCCCCCACAACAATCACATGACTGCACTTCAGACAATTGGTAACACAACTGCATTAACAACCATTTGCAGTATCCTGTGTTCACATGACCATGTTTTGTAACTATTTTGCTTAAAAGTTGCACGTACTTTTTGGCAAAATTGTGTTCAGAGTGAGCAGTGGGTTCATTTAATGGCATGGTGATCACTTAATAACTGTGGCGTTCACACTTTAAATCATGGCATTGCTTAACGACTGCTGCTGCAAAAAAAAAAAAAATCAGGTTGGTCACATGACCAACCAGTTTTATGACTGTTACAACTTTCAGCAGTAATGGCCAGGCTCCATTATGTCGTAACTTCAGTATTACCTGTCTTAGTGGTTTAAAAAATGATATGGCATATTTTTCACTGGGCATATCAATTTCTCCTCATCACACATTCAATATATTTTGCATTCTAACAACCATTTTGAAAAGTTGCTCAAGAATTATAGAGCTCAAAAAATGAAGCTCATATTCTACAGACACTATGGTACATTACATCTGAATATAGCAAGAATAATATCCAGTATTCAATATGAAACCAGAGCTGGTCAGCTGCTTTGGAGAAATGTTTATGTAGGATTTAAAAGTATTCCTCATCTACTCTTAGTCCTAGAAGTGCATTTGGAGCCGTATTATTTTTGAATCTGATATTTCTTTATAAAGGGTTTGGTTGACAGCTGCCTCTTTAAAATGTAAAATGCAATTGTGAATGGTACTATGCCTGCAGTAAGAGTATAAATAAATCCAATGAAGTCCAATAGTTAACCAAGAAAGAAAATTCAGAGCAATCATCTGCTACAAAAATAAACATAGGGTATTTCCTAAACCAACAAAAGTTAAAAACATGTTTATAGAACAGATTCAACCACTTAAATTATCATTAACCCTTTCTTCAAATATAGCTGCCCCATAATACCAGTGTCATTCAGACATGCTTCATAAAAACAAAGCTGAAATTAACATACCAAGCTTGCAATAAAGTGAGCAATATTTGTATACATCAGGTTTCTGCAATCTAGTGCCTCCAGATGTGTTGGGAATTAAACATATGGTTGAATTATCTACTGATTATAGCAGCTGTAGTTGAATATATCTGAAGACACGAAGTTTGGGAAGGATGTATATATTAGTTGAGGTCGATTAATATAGATTTTAACATTACCAAGGCTATCAAACTATGGTTGGATTATAAAAGCAATTTATATTCTTGAAAATTATTCTTGCAAACTATCAAGGCATGTCTATATACAGTATATGCAATCTCCTACAACATATGTAGAAAATAAATACATAAAATACATCTTGCATTTATAACCAGGAATGTGATTGCTAGAATATATTGTTTGCAATCCTGTAATGACACTTGTTCCAAATTACCTCTAAATGACAAGTTACATGAACCTCTATCAGGGCGAATGCCTTTCTGTAGTAGGTTATGATTATGGAACATTCCCCAAAGAGAACTTTGTAATTCCTTTCTAGAGGCAAACCTATTTATTTTAATATTTGAAAACTGCCAAGATTTGCAAGAATAGCAGTTCTGAAACAAATCAATAGTTGTTAGGCATTATGAGGCTCAACTAGAAAATTCTTGAATCCTTATAAAAAAAAACAAGATATGACAAGATAAATAAAAGTATATTTAGATTCCAATATAAAAGCAATAATAAAACTATGTGCAATTATGCATCATTGGCTATCAGGCATTCAAACATACTATCCATTAGTACATTTTGTCAAATCTCACTATGTTCAATGGAGTTTATCATTGTGAGTATATCTTATTGCAACTTTCATTCCCTCCATCTTATCAAAGGCCATCATATACTGAATTGGGAGAAAGAAACAGAATAGCAGAGAAGAATATGCTTACTACCAGGATCCACTGATAAATAACTGAACAATCACCATGCAATAAACCTGTTAAAAGATATTTTTTTGTAAGATTCCGATGTTCGGTCAAATTATAATTATTCCCTTTTAACCTATGCAGAGTTTGAAATGCAGAGTTTCAAAAGACATCAAAAAAAAACAAAAACAAATGGTATGAGTGAGCAAAAGAAACATTAAGAAGGAAAAGGGAGGATTTGGGGGGGGGGGAGGGCTCTTCTACCTTGGTTAGCTGAGCTATTTTCTTGCTCATTTTGAGATGGAGATCCTGGTTGTATTCCATGCCGAAATGGGAGGACATCACCGAGGAAGAAGAGCTGGTGTTGAATTTCCCAGTGCCGGTCGAAGAACTGCCGCTGTAGTAGTGCTGCTGCCAGCTCATCCCTGGTGTCGCCATCTTCCACAGCAGAGACCCCGTTAACGGAGCTGCCAGGCACCCGGGAGGTGGGGGGAGAGCGAGGATGAAAAGCAAACGTGGGGAAAGGGAGGAAGGATAGAGACCGGCCACTAGCGCTTCGGCCAAGAAAGGGAAGAAGGTGCCCAAAGGAAAGAGGGGCGGTGAAAATACCTCCTCATCCCCTCCTCCCGCTTTTTTTTTTTTTTTTTCAGGGATAAGCGCGCACTCGCGCGCTCACAAAGTACACACAACGCACCAGCACCTGGCCCTCACTGTCTCCGCTTTCAGGCCCAAGTGGTAATTTTAGTCTCTTCTTGCTCCGTTTGTCCCTTTTCGGTTGGGAGGAGAGAAGGAAAACCAAAACAAAAAAAAACCAAAAACAACAACCCACCAAGGGCCCTACAGCCTCTCGTCCCCCGTTTCACGCTGGTGAGGGAGACGGGTATTTGGAGAACCTTCCCCCCCCCCCCCCCAAAAAAAAGTATGAGCTTCCGTTCAACGGATGTATGGAAAACAGCCTCCTGCCTCCCTCCCCTCCCACCTCCACCCTCTGGGAAGTCCCAGCAGTCAGTATCCTTTCTCCCGTCGAGAGATGGTGGCAAGGACCAGGGGGGAGTAGTGGGAAGCGAGGGGAGGAAAGATGGTCCCCGCTCTTCCTTCACAGGAGCATCGCTCCCCGCGGGACCCACTTTGAACTCCCGCGGAAGGAGAAGGACTCCTTCCTTCAGCCGCTCTGCGCTTCCAGGGCTCCTCTTTTCTCGGCGCAAAGAGAGAAAACGGAAGAGGCCGCCACGGCGACTGTTAAGTCACCCACCCCGTCGCCTCGCGCTCCAAGACCGCCGTGGCCAACCGACGGTTACCAGGGTCCCACCAAACTGTTTACACCGGGCGGGGTAACGTCATTTCCGGCTCTGTCGGCCTCCGGTCTCCGCCCCCTTTCAGAACCTCGGAAAGAGGCTTTTCTTTAAAAACAAACAAACGTCTCGCCCGCAGGAACGAAGCGCTTCACGCGCCCGCCCGCTGTGGATGCATCCGCGCTTGGGGGGAGGGGGATGGAAAGAGGAGGGGGAGGGGGTGGATCATGTCACTCTGGAATCTGCCGTTCCCTCCCCTCCTCCTGGCGTCGTGCCTTGTGTTTCCTGGGCTGCAATCAACAGTGACAGGTGCCTAACAATGTTGCTAGGCTGAGACTACTCTGGTCTCTGCGAACAGTAGTCGAGAAAGACAATCTCTCCCACCGTTAGGCTTTTGCGTGGCTCTCACTACTTTGGAAGAGGAGAACTACACATCCTTCGGTCTAGGCCAGTGGTGGCTAACCTTTTTCAGCTCCCGTGCCAATAATTGCGTGCACGCTCACTTGCGCTCGCTCGTGTGCCAGCACCCAGAAGGCAATGCATGCTGAGGGCCCCCTGAGCATGTGCGCATGATTCCCCCCTCATGCACCATGCTTGTTTGCGCATGCGCTCAACTCCCTCGTGCACCACATGCATGTGCGCTTCCCCCTCGTGCACAGGACATCTGCGCATGTGCATGCAATCTCCTCATGCTCAGTGCATCCCGGTGCATGCACACGTGTCTCCCGTGCACTCCCCTCCGCCCCCTGCGCATGCGTGCCAGATACCCGATAATCAACTGTCAGGCGGTGGCACACAAGCGCATGCGCAGTGGGGCTCTTCCGGGTGACTTCTCGTGTGCCAGGGGGAAATGGCTCTGCGTGCCACTTCTGGCACACGTGCCATAGGTTCACCAACACGGGTCTAGTTCTCTGCTAGGTTGTGCAAATCCTCTGAAGAGCTGGAGCATGAATGAAGCACCTGGGTTTGAATAAAAATTGAACAAAGGGCAACTTTATTAGATTCATAAGGCTATCCGGCTGAACACTGATTTTGGGAAGCATGCTGATTTTTTTTTTAAAAAAAAAAGATACAATGCCTTAGGAAAAAACAGATAGTAAAAATAAATGTGTGAATGACACACTGCACTCCAGACGGGCCTGGCCTAACTGATCTCAGAATTTGGGGAAAATAATAGGTCAGAGATTGTTTAAAGGCTTGCAGGATTGAGGCAGTCTGAATCTCCAGGGGGGGATGTTTCTCTAAAGGCAGGCACTGCAGCAGAGAAGGTGCACTTCCTAATCCCATCAAATGACATTGCTTAGCGGATGGGACAAGCAAGGCAACCTTGCTATGTCAGATCTTATGAGCCAGGCAGAAATGATAGGACTGAAGCATTCCAAGGCACAGAGCTTATATATCTGAGGAACGACTTTATAATTCATAAACTGCATCTTGAATTGTATGTGGAAGCTCACTGATGACCAGTGCACTTCACACAGCAGAAATGTTACCTGGGTGTACTGAGATGAGCCCAGAATAGCTCATATCTTTGCATTCTGGATCAGCTGTAGCTTTCCAGTGGTCTTCAAAACCAGTCCCAGGTAGAGCACATTAGAAAGTACCCAGATCTGAGTGATCACAAGACTCCTGGTCCAAGAAAGAACACATTTAGCATACCAAATGAATCTGTGAGAAAATCCTTACAGCTAAATTGCCACCTTCTCTTCAAGCAAGATGCAATGGATTGTAGCTATGGAGTGGGAAGTGTTATGACTACACTGCAGAGGCAGTTTTCCAGGAAGGAAGGAGCACATTCTAAGGAGATGAATGAGACAAGAGACAACACAGTCCAGAGGTAGATTGGAGACAGAGGAAGAGATTTAGGATAGCCACTCCCTAGGGCAGGGGTGTCAAACTTGATTTCATTGAGTGCCACATCAGGGTTGTGTTTGACTTGGGGTTCCGGGTGGGTGTGGCCAGGGTGGGCATGGCCAGCTTGATATCATTCGTGTCAGGGGTGCCTGTGGTGACCTGAGTGCTCTCCCAAGCTCCATTTTTGGCTTGGATGGCCTCCTGTAACCCTCTGCCACACGGCCCTCCCGAGCTCCATTTTTGCTGGCAGAGGCATTGCGGGCTGGTCCTTTGCTGTTTCCAGGGTGGCCCATGGGCCAGATCTAAGCATCCCATGGGCTGGATCCAACCCATGGGCCTTGAGTTTGACACCCCTGCCTTATATCTGTCAAGGTTTCTGTCTATATAATGTAAACAAAGAACTGGATTTTTCTGGGTTGCTCTTGGCCTGGGCAGACCAAGGAGGATCCCCAAATTGTGCACACATTCTGTAAGGGATTGTTCAAAATAATAGGAGAATCTGTAGCACCAGAAGAACCATGCATCCCTAGTTCTTTAGTCTTATCAGACTTAAGTTTTAGCCTGATTTCCCCCATCCAGTTCTGAAGAGCCTTCAAATACTGGGACAAGATCTCGACAACATCACTGGAGTGACCACATTTGAGAAGTTTGGTTAAGTATCATCAACATACTGATGATTTCCTAAATCCATGCAGTAGATGACATCCAAAATTCCATGAAGATGTTAAACATCAGGGATTAAAGTGTCAGGTCTTAGCTATCCTGCAAATTAGGGATTTTGGACTGGATTTTTTTCCCCATCAATCAATACTAATCATAATGTAAAAAGGAGGAAATCAAGCACAATATTGTGCCTTCTGCTCCAAAACTACATAGCTGGTCCAGAAAGATACCATGATTAAAATGCCACTTAGAGAACAAGAAGAAGAACCAATATTTTTGCCCCAGAAAAGGAACTTTGTATGTATGCAGGCATGCATGTGCACATGGGAACAACTGGGAACAAGTGTAGAAGCAGCATGAGAAAAGATGTGGCTGCATTAAAGAGGAGATGGCTGAACCCACAGGAGTAAAAGGTACTTAGGGATCTTAGAGCCAGAGTCTCTGTAGTCACAAAGACAGCAAATGGCAAACCACGTGACATGCTGTCTTAATGCAAGCTTTGACTGTTTTTGTATTTACAACCCAAAGTTGCACTCAAATACGGGAGAATTTCAAACAATTGGGTCAATTACACGGAAGCATAAATTGAAGGCAAAGACAGCCCTAAAAAGGGCAGACAATAGAATAACAGAATTGGAAGGGACATCTTTGAGGTCTTCTAGTCCAACCCCCTGCTTAGGCAGAAAACCCTATACTATTTCAGAGACATGGTTATCCAATCTCTTCTTTAAAACTTCCAGTGCTGGAATATTTACGACTTCTGGAGGCAAGTTGTTCCACTGATTAATTGTTCTAACTGTCAGGAAATTTTTCCTTAGTTCTAGGTTGCTCCTTGATTAGTTCCCATCCATTGCTTCTTATCCAGCTTGACTTCCCCTTCTTTGTGGCAGCCCCTAAGATATTGGAACGCTGCTATAATCTCATCCCTAGTCCTTCTTTTTATCAGACTAGACAGAGGTTTCCTAGTCCTTCTCTCTATATGTATATAGAGAATAGTCATGTGAGAGAGTATAGAAGATAGGTTTTGATTTGATATATATAACTGAAGAGTATTTGATTGAATGTAGCACATCATGTATCTTGTGAGGTCAATGAGGTTACTAGAGCATAACTAAGTGGTGATGGGCAGGACTACAAAGACAATAGGAGTTTTGAAAAAGCAAAAGGGAAATATTGCATGATTTTTTTTTGTGGAGAGTTACTGCTTTGAGAATTCTCAAACTGCTTGATTCCAAAAATCTATGTTTGTTTCCTAGCATCTTTTCCTGGCTTATCAGTATCCCTTAGCATTCCAAATGTTTTATGGTTCAGCTGACAGTTTAGTTTCTCTGTGGGGGTGTATTTGAGCTAAGGACTTTTAGCTCTATCTCCAATATTCCTCTTCACAAGTTTGCATTAGATGGAAATTACAGGCTTCAGCAGTTACTGGTATACAAATGGCTGTAAAGAAAGCCTAGAGCAACCTTGAAGGCAAATGGAAAGCAGAAAGAGGACTGGGGGAAGATGGATGGCTAGGGCAAAAATCCAAGATCTCTGTTTTGTCAGTATTGAGCCTGAAGATGAATGATAGCTACAATAGGAGTTGTAGGATTACAGAATAGGAAGGGCCATTTAGGCAACTGAATCCAACCCCCAGCTCCTTGCAAGAATACAAATTAAAATATTTATAGTAAATGGTTATCCAGTCTTTGCCTTGGGAGAGCAGAAGAAAACTGGGACAAACCATGATAACATCTTGGATACCTGGTGAAGACCCACCCTCAAAACACTGACAAGCAGCTATTAATCAGGAGTTTCTACCTTTGTTCCCTCTAACTGTTGGAAGATTCATTTAACACTGATCTCCAAGAATCAGAGCTCTGCACAGAAACACAAGCAAAATATGATGATTCTTCTTTCTCTTCCTCCTCAGGTGAGAAATGTTCTATTTAATTCCCTTTCCAAGTGAGGTAATAAGATGCAAAAGATGCTCCTTGTTAGCACATTTGTGTTTCAATGCATATGTATGAATGCTATACATGTATTTCTCCCACTACCACCTTGCAGTGATAGAAAGTTTCAAAATGTTTGATTCACTTATTGATGGCAGGAGTTGTGATCTCTCATTTTCCGTGCTGTCTTCTGAACTTCTGTTTCATCTTTGTCTCACTGAATTGAATACAGGTACAGTAGTTCTTCACTTAAGACAATTGGAATCCAAATT